TGCAATTATTTAAATAGGATTTTATTAGATTCTAAAAAAATTTTTTAAACCTTTATAGAAACTCATAAGACTATTTTTTAAACGAATTTAAAAAAAAAGTTTAAGCTATATAATGTCAGAGGAATATACGTTGGTTATAGATGTTCAGGGATTCTATTTTAATAGGAAATTTATTGCTAAAGAAGTCAGCATATCAACATATGATTCATATATAACAACGTTTCTTATTCAACCTCCTTTTGAAGAATCTAAGTTGACGATACGGGATAAAACAACTAATAACTGGTTATATCATAATCATCATGGATTAAAATGGGAAGATGGTGATTCGACTTTAATGGCTGTTATTGAATATATCCATTCATTAATGAAAAGAAAAAATTATATATTCTATGCTAAGGGATTGGAGAAAATCAGATGGATTCAACGTTTATTCGGATACGATATTATTTTATATAATTTAGATGATTTAAATTGTCCAAATTTAAAGAATTTATATATTAAAAATATAAATATAAATACTTGTAAATATCATGAAAATTCTATGATATGTGCTGAAAAAAATGTAATAATATTAAGAAAATTTATTTCTTCATTACATATCTAATAATAAATAAAAATAAATAAGTAATTATAAAACTTTATTTCAAATTAAATTTTTTTGTTCTCATCATCAACATCAGCAGACCTTTCCATTCATATGTGAAAGATGAAAAGATTTCGTATTATTTTTGAATTTGTTAGACATTCGGTGACTCTTTTGAATTTAATAAATTTGTCTTTCAATGAATATAAACGCGAAAAACAAGTATCCTAATCTTTTTTTGAAACGATGTATTATTAATATCTCCTGCTTTCTATAACAAAATATGAGTTTTCATAAGAAGTATGCTTAACAACTTTTCTCACTAAGTCAGCAATATATGAATGAATGAATAATGCTAGATGAATAAAACATTTAAATATACACATACTTTTATGAGCATTTTTTTTTGTATATGTTTATGTGGGATTCGTTATCGTCCACTTGGCGTTACTATACTTATTAGGCAAACAATGATGATGAAATCAAGATCAAGGCTATTTATAATATTAGCATTTGATTTGAATCATATAATGAAATTTAAATAGGATAATAAAAAATAAATATATTCTTTGACAGCAACATTGAGTTTAAGATTATTTCCACATTTTAATTGAATCATATTATGAAGTATCAAATAGATTACTAAAATATATGTATATTTAAATATGTTCTTTATCAACAGTTTACCTCAATGCTTTTTATATAGTTATGAAATATGTATAAATAAGCTAATACTGTACATTAGAAATTATTACTTTGTTTAAAGATACTTATAAAACACATCATGCCTGGAATCAATCGAATCCTCAATAGCGAGCATCATGGAGAGTACAACTTCGATTTCGAATTGGAGATGTTGTGCTTTGAAGACATGAAAAACCCTTATATATGTATTGAAGATGACGATGAGGGTCCCCGGTTACAGGTTTTGGGCATCCCAGGCAGAGTAGCCCATGCTTTTTTTTTAACAAAAAATGGGATGAAGAGGATGACAATGGAAAATTCCTAACCGTTTGTGGCGGTGAAATTGAGGAGTACATAATGGAGCAACATCAAAAGCAACATGAATATGAAAGAAGGGTTTGGATATTAAGACTAAATTAAATTATTATAGTAGAACAAATAGGGAAGCGATGTATGATGTAGAAGTTTATTCTAAATCATATAACAATATTGTATTTGAATATAAATTAACTGTTGAATTGGTATTTAGAAATTTAAAATTTAATTATATAGAACTATAGATTTATTAAAAAACTTCAGCGTTTATTTGAATATAATATTATTTTATATGAGAGTTATTTATGAAAATAGGCTTATTCTTAAATCGTTAGTCGTTGGAAAAGGTTTTATAAATAATATAATTAATAAGCTTCCTATTGAACTTCATTTGCCTAGTTATCAATTTTGTGAACCTGGAACGAAACTACGGAAACTTTTAGTAAGAGGAGATCGAGGGATTAATCTACTAGACACTGCTTGTAGAGAACATGATATATCATATTTATATAATAAAGATTTAGATAACCGACATATTGCTGATAAAAAATTAATTGAGAAGGCTTGGGAAAGAGTTAGACCGAAGGATAGCAATCTTAATGGGAAAACAAATGCTTGGTTATCTACAAATATAATGAAGACAAAAACGAAATTCGGTATGGGGAACATTTATAGTAAAACTAAGAAAGTGGGAGGAAAGACTGGTTATCATCTCTTCAAACATGCTTTAAAAAGTGCTAAACAAAATTTAAAGAAAAGTGATAACTTAAAAGATGCAATTAAAATTTCACGAAAGGTTGTAAATAATATTTTTAGAGGGAAAAAGTCTATAATAAAAGCACCACGTGTAATACCATTACCTAAATCTGGAGGATTTATCCCATTAGCGCCTTTATTCGTAGCATTAGGAGCACTTGGAAGTCTATCTGGCGGTACAGCAGGAATTATTAAAACAATCAATGCTATAAAAACTGGAAAGGAGCAGTTATTGGAGGCGAAACGTCATAATAATACAATGGAAGCTATTTCAATGGCAAAAGGAATGTTTTTAAAGCCTTATAAAAAGGGATTCGGATTATATTTAAAACCATACCAAAAAAACTCTTAATGAAGCTACCCAGAAGACTTCTTACTGATGTAGACTTAAAGAAGTATTCAAAATTTATTCCAAATTTTAGAGGGGTATTCATGCGTGACACTTTACCCCGTAAACCATTTAAGAGAGAATGTGGAATAATAAATTTGGATAGTTCAAAGGGTCCGGGAACGCATTGGGTAGCTTACTGGAAAAACGGTAATGAGATTGATTACTTCGATAGCTTTGGAAACTTACAGCCTCCTAAGCAAATAATAAAGTATTTAGGAAAAAACATTAACTATAACTATAATCAACAGCAAAGCTATAATTCATATAATTGTGGACATTTATGCTTAAAATTCTTATTATCAAAATAAGTAAGTAATTATAAAACTTTCTTTTATTTCAAATTAAATTTTATTTGTTCTCATCATCAACAGGCCTTTCCATTCATATACACATACATATTAAATACTTAGCAATCAACTATGTACACATTATTAACACTTTTCTAGGGGTGGAGCATCTATATATATATATACATATGTACGTATGTACGTTTGTATACATTTCTGACTGCATACCAACACACTTTACTAATTTTCGACATATAAACCACCTGGTATCGGATTTCTCAGATTTCCATCAGCGGAACACCCTGTGATCGGCTCCGGTTCCGGACTCAGATTTGTCACCAGCGACATCTTGCGGCTTTTATCTGTGTTTTGAACTTGGATTATCGGCGACATCTTGCGGCGAAGCAGCAAAGCTTGCGGCAGAGCACCAGCAAACCGTATAGCGGTTCTGCACATGTGCAAGCAGCAAACCATATGCCGATTCTGGACCGGTGCAGGCAGCGCTGCTAGCAGCGCTGCTTGCACTGGTCCAGAATCGGCATAAATATACTACTTTAGTTGGTAACGCCGTTGATAGTTACGATCGGATTACAGCATACCAATTTTCGAATTTTCGGAACGGAGCTACGAATTCGTAACTACGAACTTTCGGATTACAGCATAGGGGTGATTGTTTTTTTTTAGATTTTTGAAGAGGGATGCCACCTGCTTAATTTAAATTTAAAAGCCATGCGGATTCACTTGTAAAATATAGAAAGAAGAAATTTCACTTCAGCCGTTCGTCATCGAAATTTCAAACTTTTGAATCATAGCCTTCAGAAAAATTTGGATATGCAGCTTTACAGCCCATTGAATTTAAATTATGAAATATTTTTATATGGAAGCGACTGCGTGGACTGAAAAGGAATGTCTAACGCTTCTGGGAGAGGAGGAGACAAAGATAAAGGCAAATAACAAAGATATTGTGGCGAATACTGCAAACCACGAATGGGAGGTCAAAGAATACTAGAGAAGAATGACAGACGAAGAAGGACGGGAACGTTCGCTAACGAGAACTTTCGATAATAACCTTCTAGAGTTGCCATGAGTGCGATGCAACGGGGGTATATAAAGCGCAAAAGTTCAGTTGTGAAACAGAAAGCTATGGGTACAGAGATTAAATGCCTTAACAAGAATTGTAAAGTGATTTAAATTGAGTTTAGTATAATAAGGTTTGTTGTACAGTAATTTCAACGTTTATTTAACAATCCAGTAAAACGAACCTGAATGATTTAGGAATTGAGCGATTAATTCTAGGATAATCGTAAGAATATAGGCAAAGATAACTGATAACTGTAGGCATAAATAAATAAAATAATAAAAATTTTAATGTACCACGCTTATATAAATGGACTAAAAATTAGAAAATAATATATCTCAGTCCCATAGAATTTGTTTTGATAACTTTTGATTTTAAAATTTCAGCAAGAGTCATTACAAACAATTTAAGAGATTGAAAACGAAGAACGTGGAGCGCATGCAATACAAATCATTAGATTTAATTCACAATAGTCAAACCACATAACATTGACCTAAAATTTCTACAACGAAAGTACAAATTTGAGATCGATTTTAAGCGGTCGTTATTCATATACCCACATCCATACATATGTACATATATTGCTCTTCATATCACTACAGGTCTGTTACATGCGCCCCACGCTTTTACTGGTTTAGATCCGATCATTGGATCATGAAAAAATTAACGCTACTCCTAAGTTTTTGTATGAGAACTGAAGTCCGTTTTGTTTTTTGCTTAAAAATTACTTCTTATTATTATAAATAAGTAAATAAAGTAGTTTATGATAAAAAATGAGAAAAATAAATTAGAGCTCGTGCAAAAATAGTACTTGCAACTAAATACATCCCGTGTCCAAATTAAAAGCCCACCACAAATCCACAAGTTTCCACAATTTAATTTTTTTTATTTATGTTTGTTATTTTTAATAAAAAAAAATTAATTTTACAACAAAAACCATGTAGGACCAAGTTTTAAACTGTGTGCTATACTAAAAAAAAATCAGCAGACTTTGTCAAAATTTTAATATTTTTAATTGAATTCCTAAGAAAGTTTTTGAATATCTTCTTATATTCAATACAGCCTACACATCTGCAATTTTCACAAAAACTACTTGCTGATATTAGAATCCATCTGAGGCTTAACTGTCATCCCTAAGGTTAATTTGAATTACGAAATTAGATAACAAATTATTCTAACAAGCGATTTTCAAGGTCAGCATCAATCTAATTTTGCTGAAAATTGCGTTGTATTGAATATAAGCTCTCGATAGGCAGTTTTGTAGCGCATAACATTTTAGTATAATAAAGTGCAAGTTTGAAGTAAGCTACTTAAAGAACTTGAAATGTTTACCAAAGTTTGTTGATTTGTTTTAAATATCGCGCAACGATTGAAATATTAATTTTCACAGTTTCTGTTAAGGAATACTATGTTTTATTTTATTCATTCCAACTGTATAAAACTGGTGCGAATTTCCTTCGTGCTTCTCGCAAGGTAAGCTTCCTTGTTTCAGGCATACACCATAAACCCAGTAAACATGCTACTACGTAAAATACGCCAAATGTAATAAAGTATGCGCCCAAACTGTTCTCATCATAACTGCATGAGGTAATTATGATCAACACCAACATTTGCACCGTGTAGGATAAAGCAATGTAGTAAGTCTTTAGATGCAGTGGAAATGCCTCCGTTAGATAAGCTGAAGATGAACTACTGAAAACGCCCGCAAACAGTTCCATCACGAAGAGTAGAATTAACAGCTTTCCCATTTTAGTTGAATACAAAAAGTTTAAAACGTCGTTATATACAACACCAGCACCAATTGCCATGTTACCACAAATCAGGGCACCAATTATCATCAATTTCTTGCGTCCTATGTAGTCCATTAAGAATGCGCCTATGAAGGAGCCCAGCCATAAAAACACACCGAAGAGAATATATGGCCTCGTATCATCA